TGAGACACACGATCCCCTACACTGACTGACTGTCGTCCAGGAGGGATAAGACAGTCACGTGATGCAAAAATCCCAGCCTTATGAAAGCACAGGCAACTATATTTAGTTCGAAAAACGATGACCTAGTGGGACTGCCCCTTCCTGTGCCCGGCCCCTTTGAGGAGCAGATCTCTGATGTGCACAGGAAGCTCAGCATTGAGCCAAGCTACAGGGTTGAGACCAGGACACTCAGCACACAAGTGATGCATGGTGTGCACGCACACACGTGTGTGTGCACATACACTGGTCATCCCATGGGATGTCCTAGAGCACAGGCTGGGGAGACCTTCCTTCCCTCCTCATCCTTGGTGTTGCAGGTCACCTTGCCAGCAACAAAAGCTGATAAGCACCAAGAGCCACAAACAGGACCCAGCCCAAGGCCCTGGACTTTATTGTGGAAGCAGGAGGTATGCTGGGAACTTCACTGGTGTGACTAGTACAGGGGTGGCACTCGGCAGAAAGGCACCAGTTGCTGGTGTCTCACCCAGGGCTGGCAGTAGAGAGTGGGGCTCCATTGCCAAATTCAGCCCTGGATAACAGGAGGGAGGTGATGCTCAGACCTGGTGATGGCAGGCCCAGGGCTGGGATCAGCCCCGCTCCTCTTCCTACAGTGTAGCTCAGCCAAGGAAGCAGACATGACTGTACTGAGAACAGAAAGGGAGCAGAAGCAGCTGTGCAGAGGTCATGCATGTGTTGTCACCACAGAGAGGGCCCCAGAAAAAAGGTGTGTGGTGACAAAAGCCCAGTCCTGCACGAGCATCATCTGCTCCCCCCTCCCACCTCAGTGGAAGAGCTTCAAAAGAAACAGCCTGAGGACCAGACATCATTAATCTCTTGTCACTGGCAGAGGGGTTTTCTCTGCCTGCATCCTGCTGCAGCCGATGAGACAGCACAACCAGCGGAGCCTGCAGCACAGTAGGGAGAGGTCACTGTGTCGCAGCCAAGCCCAAGGCTGTGCACAGATGCAATCCCTTTAATGGCCGTCAGCCTCTTCTGCAGCTGCAACTGGGGACTTGGAAGCTGACAAAAACCCTTCTACAGAAGCATCTGGTACTTCTCACTGTAAATATTTAACAATGAACAGACAGGAATCGAGAGCCAAGCGCTGCCGTGAGCCCCTACAGCTCCGTGCCTCCCACTTGCCAGGAGGGCAATGCACACTTCCCACAGCAGGCACCAGCACAGGGAGTGAGAGGTCACACAAGGAAAAGGTGTAAACTCAACACAAGCACGCACACCTCTGGAGAAGCTGTCATCTCAAAGAGGAGAACCAGAGACTCAATTTCTAGAAAGGAATTGTGAAGGAATTCAAATAACATAGCCAATTCTTCCCTGATGATTCCTGATGTCAGGGTCTATTCTCCTAGCACAGGAAAAAAACATCTTCACAAGCCCTATATCTCAAGTTTGTGGCAGCGAAATCCAAGATTTTTCTTAACTGTGAAATAACACATACTGCCAACTTCCTTCCAGAGCACACAAACATGCAGATCCTGCTATACCAAGCATACTTACCCAGCCAGGCAGGTGGTTGCTTCCCCTTTCTCAATACACAACACAGAAGCGTTAAAAAGACCCTAATCAGAGTGAGCCTTCCCAAAAGAAGCCACAGACAGAAGGAAGTGCAAAACAGCACCATCTCTCCTAATTTAAAGACAAACCTCCTCTCCTTTTCTTTATAAAAGACTAAAAATTGGAAACTGCTTCTGTACAGTGTGAGCATCGCCCACATCTCTTTATGAAAGAGCTTCAAGCACACAATTCAAAGCAGCAATTTGTAACTCTAAAAAGGTATCTCAGTCACTGCTGACAGTTTTCCAATGATCAGCTCAGGATGAAGAATACAAAAAAAAAAAAAATAAAAAAAATCAGGAACAGCATGACCAATACAAAGAGCATCGTTTGCTGCTGTATGAAAAACCAGTGCATCCACAACTGAGCCCTGCAGTCAGGTCTGGTCTCTGCATCCCAACAAGAACACAGCAGTTAGAGACATATGGAGAAATATCAGTCAGATGGACCAGGGGCAGACCTCTCAGAGGTCTGACCAAAAAGGCTGGGGTCCTCCACTACTAAGAGAGATGGGCTGACAGTGGTGCATGATATCAGGATGGCACTGCCTGACACACCGAAATCAGGAGCGCTGCATGAAACTGGTAGGAGATTCACTGAAAGCAAGCAAAGTACTTCAAACAGCAGACAACAAACTTCAGCAAGCCCTGTGGCAGTAAGTCCTGAGAGGCAGACAGGATGGGCAGTCTTGCAGAGGATTCACAGCTGACATCCACAGAGGTCCCAGTGGTGACATCCCTGCTGTCCTCATCCAACAGCAGGGGTGGGGAGAAGGAAAAAGCCTTTCCTTCTGCTCTACCAACATACAAATAAGCCCAGCATGCACTTTCGAAGGATGTTGAGATCTCTCAGGTTTTTTCCTGAACTCCAGATCACAAGGTTTGAAGTGGCTTCTGAAAAGCAGCCTACATCTGAAGTACGGTCGCCCAAAGTGAGCAAGGAGAGGACTGAGACCCATTGTACCAGACATGGGTAAATCAGAAGTCTCCTGGATAGAGCAGTTTTATTTCCAAAGACTGTTAACCAAGCAGGATGCAAGCACTGCCTCCCTTCCACCTTCCTGACACCAGCACATGACACCCTGCTGAGGGCAGAACACCTCCAGCACCCCATACCAACAAGCAGGTGCATGCTCTGGGGCATGCCACAGCAGCTGTGCCTACAAAATGGCTGGTGCTTTGGCTCAGGCTCCTCACCTGACCAAGTCCCAGCTCTGTTGCCACAACTCAGCATTCTCAGTCACTGTGCCAAATACTTCCTTGGGCAAAAGGACAACTGACTTTTCATCAAGAAGGGAAACTGGCTATAAAGACCCATCTGGCCTGGTAAGATTAACCTTATAGAATAGGCACTGACATAGATTATTGGAGTCTGGGTGATTTGCAACAATAGAGTGTAGCAAATTGACTCATTAGCAAAGGAAAGGAGGTGAGGAAGTCAAAACCAACAGCTTCAGAAGCGCAGAGCTGCTCAATGCTAGAAGCACCCTGCTGGCAGTGCTTCTCTGCCCTTGCCTGCCACATCCACACTGTGCTGTGCGCAGGGGGTATCAAGCCTTTTGAGTGAGCTTTGGTGTATAAGGAAGAAAAAGCACAATTTGAAGGCTTTTCTTGGAGAAGGCATGAGAAAACACGAAGTGCAGTGTCAAGAGGCTGCTATCATTAAAAGGAACCATGTTTAAGCTTTCCCCCAACCCTGTGGGCAATGTTTTCTGCAACACCCCTGACATGTAACATGCTCTTACTGAAGCACACGCTATCATCTGTTGCAGATGCACTCTTATGCCCCACCCCAGAGCCAGCTGTGAAGGTCCACAACCAGCTGGAGCACAGAGGATGGAGTGGTGCCAACCAGAGGACATCTGTGCATCTGCAGCACAGGCAGACAAAACACACCATCCAATGAAGGCAGACATTCAGTGGGGCAGAGGAGCTTCTTACAAGAAAAAGGAAGAAGAAAATCCCTCAAAGTCACAGAATTTTTTCTGTGCAGTCATTACTCCATCCTGGCTTCAGGCAGGCTGTACTCACTACACACGAATACACCTCTGCTCCTCCAAAACCAGCTTTAATACTCTACTTTCATGCATGGTATGAACGCAATAAAAAAAATGTGAAAGGCTTACAAATGGTTGGGTTACTTTTGTAAAACCTAGAGAAGCAACTTCTGCAACACTAGGGGAATATCTGGCTGTATATCATGTTAGCTGGCTAGAGCTTCAGAAACAAATATACATACTCAACTTCCAACTGCCTGCTCAATTCATGAAGCCAAATTACTGTCTCCAGTGTCACACCATACCTCTTAAAAAATAGTGATTTACTTTTTACTGAAACCAGCTTTAAGATAATTGAGCTGATTTTCATGCTTCCAAATCTCAATCATGCAACGCTTCACAATCAGCAGCAATTTACCCTCACACCATTGTTGCAAACTGGGGAAATGCAATCCTATTGCAAAGCCAAAAAAAGCAGACAGGAGGTGGACACAGCAACGTGACCAAGGCTGCCCAAGGCCACATCAACTACAGCCCCATACTGCCACTGCCTTCGCTACAGGTGTCCAAAAGGCACTCTAGCTCCTGGGATAACAGGATATTCCTGAGCACTCTTGGTATCCCTGAGTGAAACATAAGCCCCTCCTTCAACACGAGCTCTCCAACAGCGTCAACCTGGATGAAGAGCCCGTGGCAGTCTGGGAAAAGCAAGAATTAAGGTGACTGATGCCTGCTTTAAAAAGCTACTAGAGTCAGGCCCCCAGCTGAGCACAGCCTCCCTTTTCAGCTGATGAGCCCAAGCCATTTATGCAGGGTCCATCTTTACAAGGCTCTATGTAGTCTGGGGTTCAAGTTAACCCTGGTCTTGCATTGACAGCAAACAGGTGCAAAGGGCACCACAGTCCTTAATAGAGATACACAGTAACAACACACATACTAAATACCCAAGGGGAAATTTGGATTTTTTAAAGTATTGCAAATTCAAGTATACACCTTCAGGTGTGTGGGCACATCAAGATGTTTGATAACATAAACACTAACAGCAAAATTCTAAGCTAGGTTTGCATCTTGAGACATCAGTTACACAGAATTAAACCCTGTAAGTTCCAAGACTCTTCAACTATGGAAAACCAAATCCTCCATGCTACAGTGTTTTGGGATGAAAGCAACCTTCCACCAGTTGCAACTACCATCACACTAAAGCACAAATGTGCCTGTTACACAGGACTGACTGTCATAGGAGAACAATAACAAAATATTATAGGATTTTTTTTTTTTTAAATGTCTGCACCAATCTTCTAAATTTGGTTAGTGCTGACTCTGCAAAAAGAGAAGTGCAGGAAAGACATGGAGGAGTGAGGTGTGAAGAACTCCATTTTTAATTAATACATACCAGACTGGCCATCAGCTGGAAATATATCTGCAAAAGAAGAAAGAAAAAAATTAGTATTAGTTGCAGCTGGAGGGCAAATTATATTTAAAAAGTTCCTCCCCTCTTGATTTGTTTGCTTTAGCTAAACAGAGCAAGTATTTTCCTAGTATCCCAAGTTAAATATCAATCTAGCTGGGAACCCACCCCAATTCAACCACTTGTTGCAAGAAAGATTTTGAAGGAGTTAGTGCTTAAATACTTGAATGCATTGCTCTCATTAATAACCTTCTACACAGGCTTCTGACTGACAGCAGTGAAGAACAAAACGACTGCAAAATGTACAAAGTCCCCATCCACGAGGTAGCTGTGTCAACAACTCCACGCTCCCCCTGAGCAGGGTCACCAAACGAAGACCTGCGCAGAGCATCTAACGCAGTGTCCAGCCAGAGGAAAGCAGGGGAAGCCAAGCCAAAATAATAATAATAATAATAATAATAATAATAATGATCAAATGAGCTTTTTCTGATGGTTCCATTCTTTGGAGAATGGGATATACAGCAGACTATGAATGGAAAAACCCTGTTGATAAATGCTTCCTAAGATGCTATGGAAACAGTGTATTTTAGAGAGTAATATGCTACATTTTCTTCGAGGAACTTGGAAGAATAGGGGGAAGGGAGGCTACCAGCAAGCCAAGGTCCTTCTAGGACAGGGGCAGGCCCTTGGCACCACCTTATCGGCTGCCCAAAGCACACATTCAGTTGGAAAGTCACAGAAGTTGCAGCACGAACTACCCTTGGCCAAGGCAATGCTTTTCAGACAGCACTCAACCAATGCAGAAACAGCAAAAACACGCCTCTACTAAAAAGCTGCTATTTCTCTGCCTTTGACAGCACACTGTGTACAAGGCATCCTCAGGAAGGGAAGCTTCTCTGCAGCTGACACAGTGAGAAAACACTCAGAACTCCCTCTGCTATTACGTGTGCTCATGGTTTGAGCCACACTCAAGGCATGATCTCAGGGAAAAGCCAGCATGCCCAGAAAAGCCTCCAAGCACCAGTCTCAATTCTTTGCAAACTGTGTGTTCTACTGCAGTCCTCTACCAGCACATCACCAGACACATGTGAACACCTTGCATTTCTGTTATGGCTACTGATGAGGTCAGGCTCCCGACAACAATGAACAGGAACACACTGTACTTGATCTAACAGGTCCCAAATAAGAGGCAGTTTCTTTATTTCCCTGCTTGGGCAACTTCCAGCCAACATCTTTGCAGAGGAACAAGGTGGAAGCACAAGTTAATGCATACCCCATTTTTTTTTTTATCAGCTAGCTGTACTAAGTACCACCAAAACCAAAATTAACAGATGAAAAAAAAAATAGTAAAAAACAATGGCTGAGAAGGGAAATTTCTCTGTGCCAGCCAAGGCCTGCAGGCCTTGGCAACAATTCTCCTTGCTCCAGCCTGTCCAACCAACTCTCCATGTAATGCCCCAACCTGGCCAGCCACCCACAGAGGCCCAGGGCAGCCCCTTCCAGCAGCCACAACCACCCCCATGTCAGGCAGAAGCTGCAGATGATCCCTCAGGGATGCTTCCTACTGGTCACACCACTGCTGCAGTGCAAAGCTGGCATTCCCTCGAGGCCTCTGTGCTCAGCTCACAGCCAAATCCCCCAGAGCCCTGCTGAGCCTCAGAGATGTACTGCAAGGCTCACTTGGCTTCTCTTGAGATGAGCCATTGTAATTTTAGAGCAGATGTGCTGCTAAATGTGCTGTAGAAAAGCAGTGGAAACTCCTCAGTGGTGCTGGCCAGGGGCAGACACAACTCACATTCACACTCAGGAAGTCTGCTCCCACCCTGACTACCACTGAGGAATGGCATCTGTCCATCCTCTAAGCCTCAGCCCTCTTGCCTAGGAGGCTCAGCCTGTCCAACTCCTCTTACCTATAACCATAGCATAATAGAATTTAAGCAGAGATGCAGAGAGTTGGGTGAGCAGGCAACTTCTTCCAATGCAGAGAAAGAGCACAGTGCAAGCAGCTTGCAGGACATGCTCTTCTGAAACACAGAAGATGCGCATGAAACAGGGCTAGTGAGGGACTGAGGCACGATGCCCCTCCTGGATACCTCCTACTCTACAAGAAAGAGTGACTAGATTACAGATTAGCTTGCCAATTAAGGACAGTACTTCGTATGCCCAAAAGCAGCCTAAATTGCACAGCTCTTCTCTCAAGAAAGTCACGGGGAGAAGGAGGTAGAAACATGCATGGCCAGCAAAGAAGTGTTAGGGCTGCGCTCCAATGGGCCCATTTAACATGTTTCAGTCCTCCTCAATACTCTTAAGGTTCAAAATCAAACACTGAAGTCCCAATCATAGAGACAACGCTAAGATCTTGCTTACACAAAGCCTCAATATTGAAAGCAAACTAGCCCCAAGGATTTATCCCACGACACACACGAACAGTTTCCCACCTGCCTCACTTCCAGGCACCCAAAGCCAGGCACCCAAACATGGGCCAGATGCAGCAGGGGACGCTGCTCCAGAGCAGCTCTGCACCAGCTGGCTATGCTCCCCATGCAGAGCAGCAGCTTCACCCCTGTCTGCTCCACATCTCCCTGCTACACCCAGCCACGCAGTGCTGGCTGGACACATCATCATCCTCGGGCAACTAAAAGGAAAAGGCAAGATAGTGCCAATGTTGCAGTGTGAGCAAGAGAGCCCCAAGAAATTTGGGCCCTGTGGTCTCACATTTCCTTCCCCTTCTCACGCATGGGGTCTTCTGTTTCTCACCGGCCCAAACGCCAGGAAACTTTAGAGCCAATATCTGAACAGAAGGATCACAATGACAACATGCAGTGGAATCTCTGCAGAGGCAGGCATTTCTCAAGCACGTTAACAATCTATTCAGCTCTGTGCATTATCCACGAAGCCCACAGCTCAGTGGGAACCAAGTTCCATCCATCTCCCTGTTATCAGTGCAAGGGGTGGAGGAAAGGAGAGAGCAGGAAGAGGTCAAGGATGCACACTGTAGCAGCAGGATGTTCGGGAGGCACCGAGCATCCCTTTTAAGACTGTCACATGACAGCGTGCATGTGTTACAGGGGTGCTGGCTGTGAGCACCAATACCCAGAGCTGTAGTGCTAACAGCCCAGGAAACAGCTAAATTGAGGACAGTTCTTCCTATTTTAGGTGTGAGTGAGAGGGGGATGGGGGAGTGGGATATGGAATCACAATTTTTGCTTGATGATATTTTTAAACAGAAGAGGAGACCGTATGTTTAACTGGGGCATTTACAAAGAAAAGCTGCTGCGTCTACACACAAAATCCCCTCTGCAGGAGCTATTTGCCCACCACTGCTATGTATCAGATATCTGGGACAGCACCAAGCAGGCTCCTCAGTTTAAGAGCCCACATCTCCCCAGTACCAAATCCAAGCACCTTCACAGGAAGTCTGAACCTACCCGCGCTCCTGCTGCCTCAACAGGAGCAGCTGAGCACACCACATTCATTGCTTCCCAGCTATGGGAACAGTCCTCACAATGCAAACAGCACAGGTAGGGAAAAGGTCCCCATTTACAGAATCCATCTTCTGCTGCAAAGAGACCAGTGTTACCTGAATCTCTTCTCCATCCCCAGGCAACTTCTCAGCTCAAATCTGTAACCTGCCTTCCCCAGAGAGGCCCAGATAGTGCCTGCACAGGCTCCTCAGTTAGTAGCCTCTTCAAAGCAGCACTTAGCAGAGAAGGGGGCGAGGTCTGCTAGAAAGAAGTAGCAAAGCAAGAAACCCAAACCCCAGAGATTAGCATGGACAATTAGGTCCCTCCTGAGGATCTTGCTTGCTTCCTGCTCCCCTCCTTCCTTTCCTGCCAAGCAGGCTCAGGGAGGGTCCAGCCCTCAGCCACCCAGATCTTCCCAGCCCTCCTCAGCCACCAGCTCCAGACAGCCCTGGCTGCAGTACTAAGTCTCCTCACCCCCACAAAGGGAAGCTGAGGCTTGAGATGGGTGAAAGATCCAATCCAGATAAGTCGACCTTGGTCACCAATGTTGGCTTAGGCATTAAGACACCACAAAAACTGTTCAAGAAAAAGGTTAAAGAAAACAACTGCAGAAGCACTGATCAGCTTTCAGATCCGTTTCTCCAGAAGTGTTGGAGCAGACCGTTAGATCTTTGTAAGTGGTTTTCTGATGTCCATCAGAGCAGAGGATCAGCTCCTTCCCACACAGGCAGCCATTATCTGGGGACATCCCATTCACCTGTGCTAAGAGACTAAAGAACAGCAGCCAGCATGAGCTCTGGCATAGATTTTTCACAAACCATGTGGAAACAATTCTTGCAATGAGTTTCTGCTGTAGAAAATCTGTGTCCCAGCTAACTTCATGCACTTGAAAAGGGATGAAGATCTCTGGCCTCAGCAAGCTGCAAGGGAAACACATCCTGAAAAAAATTTACCATCTGCAAAAGAACATTATTACCTGGAAGAGCTCCCTAGCTTTAAGCTCACACTAGGCACTACACTGAATTAGTACCTTAATGCTGATACCAAGTCTCTTCATGCAAGGGAGAGGAGCTTCCCGAGCGAGGCTGTGACTGGCATGTAACTGAGTGCACAGGCACCAATGGGATCAGCACGGGGCTGGAAGAAGTCTCTTCTCCAGGCATCAGAGATGTTCTGAGGAATGCAGCTGGTCAGCTTGACCAGAAAAAAGAGAGTGCTCCAAACAAACAATCCCATGAATCCTGCACTCATATATGCACAGACACATGAAGCATAACTGTAAGGTCATGGCTGTTTTTCCTCCCATCCACTTATCAGTGCTTGTATTGCAGAGAACAAACAATGGATGTTCTCTCCTATTAACCCCTTCTCCTCTCACCCCAAAATGCTGTTCTCAAACCACAAGCCGTAACACCAAACAAAAAGCCAGAGATAGCACGCAGCACCTTAAAGGAAGGAGCAAGAGAAAAGTCTGATGTCTGATGCCACAAAGCATGGCAGCTGACCCAGGTGTCTCATGCTCCTTAATCACAAATAAGCCTCCAGCCT